AACTTGAAGATGACGACGTTCCTGGGAGACTTGAACTGGCTGGAGCGGCGTTGGTCCCCGCAGCAAGTGAGCGCTGTTGCGCTTGCGCAGCAATCTTAAAAAGATGAAATTGTCAAGAAAAATATGCAGAAAAATAATCAAGCAAGCGCAGAAGTGCGCATTCAAATAAGTTTTTACTTATCCTTCTGTCTCCAAATATTAGGGGCGCTACCTGATTAAGAGCAACAATTCGTTCAGCATGCATGTGTTTGAATGCCGCTATTACATTAGGATCTTCGATCAGGTTTCTAGCAATGCTGCAAAATAAACTATATTAGCTGTTTCATCAAACTATTTGAAAAAAAAATTGAATAAAGCATGAATGAGAGCGTCAACAGTAATGTAGAGCAAAGCGGTTTGATAAATCTAAACATACTTCAGCAGATCCTCCTGGCACACCTCCTTAACCTTTTCAGGTCTTTTGCTCTTTTTGTTCTCGTCACCATCGTCTTCTTCATCACTATAGTCAAATTGACTCGAGAGCAGATCCTAAAGGAGAACCATATTATCACCCAATAACTAATCTGTACAAACTCTATCATATCTCTGCCTACTTTAATCTCTGGCTTGTCACCTACAGATCGTATACGAGCATCGAGCGCGCGAGCAATTAGCTGAAACAAAGAGCCCCGCACGACGTATGAAAGCAGAAATCTTGTCCAATAAAGAAAGGAAAAGAAAGGAATCCGGTACCCCGTGTGCTTTCCTCAGCAAAACGATATCATTCTTAAATGCACCACTAAAATCAAAATTTGCATCCAACATCATTTCCAAAAGTTTCCGCTCACTAAGGCCACCTAAAATTGAGACATTTGGGTTCCGTTATCGTTCTGAAGCTCAAAAAATAAGACTTTTGGATACATCATTAGAAGTAAGATTAGAATGATTGGTATTGACGATTTTCAACGTACATGGAGGAATCTCATCAGATGGTTCATTTTCGTTGTTGGTATTGACAGGAGCAACATTTTGGCTCGAAGCGGCAGCTGGGTTCGTCAGATGAACGGGAGGTGGCATAGGAGGAGTGGTTGAAGGTGCCTGAAAGATTACCAGTATTCAGAATCGCTGCGCATCAAAGTAGATTTGGCAGAATGATCTCTACAAGGAGCACACCGGTTGAGCAAGGTCACGAGGTGGAGACTCTGGAGCCGAACTTCTGTGATGCCTCTTTCTTTCCTTTTCCTTAGCTCTGCCATAGGCCCCTCCATATCTTGACATATCCGCATCTTCTCCTTTGACAAGACGTTCCACTCGTTCAATATCCGTGTCTTAATTTGAAAGCGGAAATGTAGAGGAACTGCACACATATTGAAGGAAAGAAACAAAAAAAGAGTGATACTAAGCGACTAATAACTTGTGGTGACTTACCTATTCCCATATCACGGCACTGCTGTTTGAAAGGTGAAAGTTGTTCTTCAGTAAAGACACCGTTAGCACCCCAGAGGTTTAGTGTACGGACTACACGAGGCTGAAATGTTCCTTGTCAACACTTTACTTATGAGTTGGTGAAATCATAATTCGCTGAAGATAAATTAAAATAAAACTCACCTGGTCGGCTACCGGACAACTAAGCAGATCAGCCAAGGTCTTCGAGAAATTTTTGAGAAAGCGTGCCGCATACACATCTCTCTCCTTGAACTGATGCTTAGATGTGCGAATAATGCTGTCGATAACATAGAGACATGGAATTTTGTACTCTGTTTTGCACTGAAAAGTACGGTAAAGAACGTAATATTGGTAAAAGCTTGATAGAGCAAACTTCACTGAACCGCTTATAAAGTAAGAAAGGGGAGAGAAAAAGAGAGTAACTTCGGTATACGATGATCTGGAGGGTAGAAGTCACATTCCGAATGAACTTTGACATCGCAAAAGCCGATGCTCTCAAAATTGGTCTCAATCAATGCATCGCGTTATTTAGTGATAAGGCGTGATTTTACAAGCGATTAAGTGTCTTGTGCGGCTTACATTCTAAGAAGATTTCTGAGCGATTTCCCAGTGAAAACTTTAAAGAAATTGGTTAAAAATTTTGAGTAGACAAATGCTTAAGACCACACCTTCGCAAGGAATTTTTCGACGCTGAATACGACATGCTTGTAGTATCCCTTTGCTTTCAGTGCAG